ATATATATATATATATATATATATATATATCAGGTACATATGAGATTGACATTGTGCAAATTCATTAGATGCTGAGCTAGATTATGGCTTTCAGCTAATGAAAACCCCAAATTCAGAAAATGTGAATATCACATTAGATCAATGAAAAGAGCCTTGTATATGCTCAAATATTATCTATTGATATACATTTTGTTTGGCCACAGAATGGAAGCAATTACTTTCAGTTACTGGTATCAGTACCATCATAATATTTTTTTTTTTTTTACCTGTTTGTCTTCATTAGGAGTGAAAGAGATTGACATCGCAGCCACACTGGAGCACATCAGAGACCAGAGGCCTGGACTGGTTCGCACCAAGGTACCAGCTCCTTTTTTCTGGTTGTGTGTGAAGTATTTCAGCTTAACTTTTCTGACTTATTTTTTTTATTATTTTTTTTGTATCTGGATGAAGTTCATCATAGCCCAAATGTTTTCCTCTCCCTTGCGCCTCCTGATCAGGACCAGTTTGAGTTTGCATTGACAGCAGTTGCTGAGGAAGTGAACGCCATTTTGAAAGCCCTGCCGCAGTGAGACGCAGCAGCTGAGGAACAGGACCGCAACACATCCAGACACACCAAAATATGTGCTCCAAAGGAGATATTCACCATTCATCTAGGTTCATTATGCTAAGAAGAGTCTGCTCGGTCTTGCTGAAATATTGTCATTACAGCCTTGTTTCCCTGTTTCCTTTGTTGTTGTTTTTTTTAAGCTTTTTGGAGCTTAATGACATGACAAAAATGTGCTGACTGGTTTCTGGCTGGATGCAGATAGGACCATATTTATTCACAATTACAATACAAATCTAATATCTATCGTTGGTCCCTGATAAGTCCACCTTACTACAAAAGGATTCAGCCATCTGGTGTAAAATTAAAACAATTGTGCCTGTTTGAATACAGATGTAAGTTTTATACAACTTCTCCCATGAGTGAAGAAAGTATATGTGACCAAACAGTTGCAATATACCTCCATGTGACTATGATGTCATAAAATTGATCTCAGTGCCCGCTGACAAACTGACGTTTTTGCTGCATTGATAAGTAGACCAAAATTAAAACGTCTATTCCATCACTCTTACTGAGGCAAAGCAAGGTTAGCCTACTGTTGAGTTTAAATCTTTGGATGTGGTGTTTTGTGTCACAAGAAGTGTCAATGGTGTCAACATTTTCTTTCCCTTTCCTTTTTCTTTCGAGGCTTTGTCTTTGCCTTGCTGATGTAAATGTTCTCTCCCGGCTGTGCTTCTTTAAGCATCGGATGCCGTCCATTGCTGTCACCAAATATTTCTATTTCTGCACACGGCGTTGCTTTGTTTGCATTCTTTTACCATCTTAGTCAATGTGTGCCCTTGTGATTAATGTAAATAATTCATGCTGATGATTGTGTTTATTTCATGTAGCAGACAAACGGAAAATATCTATAAAAATGTATTTTTGACTTGACCTAAATAAATTTGTGATGTGATGCAGCAGAAAAAAAACAAAAACATTTTTGAGTCGTTTTGCTTTACGTGTGCTTTGTTTATCAGATGATATGGAGGAGAGAGTAAAAGCAGGTTTCAATTGTTTTCACTGATTTCTATCTTAAATAGTTGCCATTAGAGATGTGCCAATTACTATTGCAACTGATGTCCAGTTCCTGTGAAGCTTTGACTCTCTGATAGCAACTTCAGTTGATTACAATTTCAAGCTAAAAATATGTAAAAGAGATCAAATTCTAGCCGTCAATCCAGTGTGTGAGAGCAGTTGCTTTTAAAAAAAGGTTTTGCTAACATTAATAAAATAACTAAAAATTATTAGGGAAATTCATTTTAAAAGTGTATTCGGAATTTTATTTTAGTGATTAGTCTAGTTGGCTTTGCTCTGTGCATTCCCCAGAGAATGTAGATCATAACTTTTCCAAAATGTTGCCAACACTTCCAGATCCAGAATGTTCCATGACAGAGGTTGAAACTCAAAATGAATTAAAACCGAGCAACTTGATTGTGCAAAAAGTAGCCTTCCTGTTATCTGCTGTAACTCTTTCCAGTAACTCTTTCCAAATCTCACTTACTTACAGCTTGGATAACCAACAGACATGAATAATTGTAAAATGTTTCTTATTTTCTTTCTCCGACTTCATTTTTTAACATCTCAGGAAGCTTCCAGGCCGGCCCCCCCATGACTCATATCCTCCACAGATCTTGCGTATAGTGCGTTCACTGATTAGGAAAAAAAAATGACCAATTGAGTTTTAAACCAGCCTGTCAGGCCCAATCAAGTTCAATTCAGCTGATTCTGATGAAAAGCAGATTTCACTGTGCATCCATGATTACAATTAATCCTTCTTCCAACAACAGGGAAATTAACACAAAATTAATCCAAGTAAAAAGTGGGAAAGAAAATCTTTATTTCCTCTGCTTTATGTCTTGAAGATATTATTCCTAATTTGTCCAATAACTTCAGTAAGCAAATATGTCATTTCCTAATCTTTGAACAGGACTTACATATTTTGTACCAGTTTTCTAAAGCACTACTTTAGTAAGAATCAGTCAAAGACTTGATAGTACAAAGAACTATTTTCTTGGTTTTCAAACCATCCTTTTTCTTTACCAACAGCTGCAAATACAGACACACAAAGTAATAAATACAATGCTTTTTAAAGTTTAATTCCGAGATGGGAGGCATCTTGGGCAGAGAAAGTGCATTGTAGCGAGTATGACCTTTGACCTGCAAAAACAGATGTTAAAAAAAGGCGTTACAGTTTATCTTAAAGATGATCAGTAGGAAGCTACATTGGGATCAAAAAGAAGGAGAGAAAAATGTTTAATGTTCAGGGTGTCTCAGAGTCACACTGGTCCTTTACCTCTGAGTTGGGCTTAAGGGCACAGAGCAGCAAGAGCCAATCAGGTTAGCTTGTGAAGGCCTTGAAGTCTGAGTCTGAAACAGGAAGCAGGAAGTATAAGACAGGGCTTTCACTCATGCACCGAGATTAAAACTAAATATTTGATCAACTATATCATGAGATAGGATTTATCTCATTACCAGTCGGAAAAAAAAAAAAAAAAATATATATAAAAAAAAAAAAAATATATATATATATATATTTATATATAAATATATATATATATATATATATATATAAAACTATCATTTCAGACACAGTAAGATGATTGAAAGAGGCAATATAAAAACCTGAAAAAATAATCCAAACTCATCTTTAGGCTCAATTTTTATTTGTTATTATTCATTAAGCAATGTTTAAAAAAATAACATTGTAGTGCAAACTAGAACAATATTGCAAGGCAATTGATACAACATTCTACCATTCCTCCTCTTTACTGCTAAGTGTGTTGTTCTTCACACTAAACAATTAAGAGGACGAATGATCTTTTATTCTTTCAAAATAATTCATTTCTTTCCCCTTTGCCAGTGATAGTAATAATTTTATCCAAAACAGTCACAACGTAAAACAATGAAAATGATGAAATGTGTGTGCCTAGAGAAGAACAGCAAAATCTCACGTTTTGCTTTATGAGGAGACAGAAAATCAAGTCAGACAGATGCTGCCTGAAATATACCTTTAACACTAGACACTACTGGTAACTTACTTTTAATGTTTTGGCATTTGGCACCAACAACACTGTTCTTAACTTAAGATGCAATCTTCACAAAAACAACAATCCTTTTCACAGTAATTATTGTACCACGATTTAACATGATTTTTACCTCATTCAAGGTCTAAAACAAGGTTTTTTCAAATCAGACAGCACCAATCATAGCAATAGCCCACACTAACACACACACACACACACACACACACACACACACGCATGCACACAAGCTCTCTGACCCTATTAAATTCCTACACTTTGATCTGCACATAAAGAATTATTACTGTAGTTTACGCAATGTGCCATTACAGTGCAACGGTGAGATTAAAGACTCCATAAAAATATAAAGGGCAGCTATTAGTGAATGAGCAGAACCTCACATTCTTGTGAATTAGTAACGCAATTTATTTGCTGTCGTCTTAATCTGTTGGTTATTTCTTAAAAAGAAAGAATAGAAATTATAAAGTTACACTTCATCAGGTAAGAGGAGGCTTTTATCTAAAGCAGCTTATCAACACATTGTGAAGCAACATGGGATTTTAGTCTCTAGTCCAAGACCACTAAATGAAAACTGAGAAAGTTGGGAATTGAACCAGTGACCTCCAGTTGAAGGACCAACTACCTCGCTGAAGTCATAACAATCCAATTCAAGGTAAGTGTAGCTCTTATAGTATTCTGAAGCTCTGCCTTAACATCAGCCCTCCTGATCCATTTCTGTATGTCTTTGCACATCTTTGCATATGTAAAGGCATTTTTAACCAAGAAAATAAAACAGATCAAGCTTAGTTAGACTGGATAGATTTGATCAGTTAGCATCCATTTTAAAGTCTTTGACTAGGCCTTTCTAACAGATAAAGACACTTTGATATAAACCATTCTACTGTAGCTATGGCTGCCTGCTCAGTGCCACTGGAAAGTGAACCTCCACCACATCTTCGACTCTTCTGCAGACTCTTCGCAACAGTTTCTCTGTACTTCTATTCACCGTCCAGTCAACTCTGACCATCTTCACTCTCCCTAGAGAAGAACATGCCCACATACCCACAGAATGACGCTGCCACCACCATGTCTTACAATGGGGATGGTGTCTTGAAGGTGATGTTCTGTGTTAGGTTGGGCATTATTTAAGGTGCTTATCATCTAGATCAAAAAATTTCACTTGGCACGCCTTTCGTCTACATTGGCTGCAGAAAACGTTTAAGCTGGAATTATCTAAGAGGTACTTTCCCAAGGCACTGTACACTTAATTACACTGTTCTTTAAGGTAGTTTGTTAAGAAAATTGTGTGCATTTTGAACATGTCCAAGTTCAAACTTTGTGCTTCAAATAATTTCATTTTTAATCAACGATTCTCAGGTATTTACAAAAGACTTATGTAATCAAACAGATAAAAACTGCCAGAGAACGTCCTGTGTGATGCTTTTTGATTTTAGTTTGTTGCATTACAATTACTCAGTCTTTGCCATAGAGTCTGAACAAGAACATTCTGTGGCAGAATTGCAGTTAACCCACACACTCACACACAAAGTCAGTCTTACACATGTCATTGTTATAAGGCTTTTTCTTGTTCCTTAAAAAGAACCTAATACTTTTCATCTAATTCCTTAGCACCAACATGCTAAATAACAATCCCAGTTCAAACTTTTTCACTGAAACCAAATCTCTTGTAGCTCAAAATCCAAAAACACACTATCCCCAATTTCGAACAATTTCTCTTAAGAATACAAAACTCAAAGCGTTTCTCACCTAACTTCCTACCCGTTGCACCTGTCAGCTCTCGTCCTACTCAGACATTCCCTTTCCCATCTGTGGAAATATTAAAACTGGCAAGTGCACAGTCATTCAGAAGCAATCATTTGATGTCCTTTGCAGCTACAAATCCAAACAAGTTTAATTTTGAGGTTCATTTGACCTCATGTGCATAAGTCAAGATTACACACTGTAAACAATCACCTGCAAGACTTTAAAGTTTGTTTCTTTCAACTGCTGTTTTTGACATCAAAATCTTTAGCCTTGAAGAAGGATTTTTGCACTCACAATGCAGTGTGGCGACTCGAGCTGACACCATGGTAAGTAAAAGCATTGGAAGCCTTCCCAAATATGCATTTAAACCACACTAGCACATAACACACCCACACTTTTTCTTTTTCACACAGCCTTCAGATGTTTTTGCCGCAGGTTTGACCTTTTCTTCACTCGGAAGTGCAGTGGCAGCAGCTGTGTCTGGCTCTTTGGTTCCTTTTTGCTTCGTTTCAATAATATTTCCAGAACTTGTGCCAGATTTAAAGTGACCTCCGTCATCTTGCTCCCCTGCAGCTACTTTGCAGCCACTGGACAAATTAACTTTTTGTCCTTCTCCCATGCAGCCCCCAACTTTAACGCGTTTGGTTCTACCCCTACCCCCAGCACCTGGTATGAAGGTGGTAGAACTTTCTTTCTGCTGGGCCTCCATTTCTGACAGGCTGCATGCCAAAGCCATCTGAAGGTCTTCATCATCTTCTTCATCTTCACTGTCCCCTGTGGCCGCATGGTTGTAGCTGGGAGCTGCACTAAATGAGCGATGTGGAGTCGCAGAGCGGTCGTAGTCGCGGGCTGATCCGTTCATGATGGAGGGCTTCTGAGAGGACTTCTCTCCTTCTCTTCTGCTGAGCTCCATTGCGAGAGCCATTTCATCTTCCACACCTACGAGGAACACACACCGAGACGTGGTTATGTTTATATAACATATGGTAAAACAAATTAAGTACTTATACTCAATATTAGTTATATGTAGTAGTGTTAGAGCTGTGGTAGAAACAATCCCACCATTATAACTTTCAGAATTGGATAAAACATTTGCATTTTTAGGGGAAAAAATTGCCATGTTGGCTACAATAAACACTTTCACATATCAAAGTTTTTTGGATCATGAAGTGCAAGTAGGCATACAAATTAACTCAAAGCTGTTGAGGAATGAAACAGAGTAGGGCTGCAATACAGGGCTGGACTGGGATAAAAATAAAAAAAACGGCACTGGCATTTCTGGCCATGGCTGGCCATCATAATTATTTATATGATATGCGAAGGTACGCGACATACCAAAGGATATATATGCAGGCTGTGTTGTTTCAAAAATTAAAATAAACCACAGCAGCCTACATGGAGGAGGCTACTGTGTACATGGTAAAAAAAAAAACGTACATGTTCTTTCACCACCCTTCAGGTCACAGTGTCACAATTCCCACATTGAAGTGGTAAAAATGGATGTCAAGGAAACTCTTCCATAGAGTTCTTTTCACTGTTTTCTGTAATATACTGTTTATACAAAAACATAATTATGGTCATAATTATCCATGTAAAATAAAGAGCTCTTCATCAAAGTGGCTCCATAAACTATGAAAAACAAAGATAATTTGACTAAATTTTTCTCTGGTTACCAATGATAAATCAAATATTTCACCAAAGCAATGTTTCACTAAGATTTTATGGAAAAATTACTGGAGGGTGTAACACTTGCTGCAAACCATAACTTTGTATATCAAAATAACATACTAAGTAGCACAGCAAATACCATATTAGTTTAGCATAGCATTATTATAAAACAAATGCTATAAAAGCATTTATCTCTCTTTTACGCAGTTTGTGCACAAAACTCCAGGCACTGGCATTTCTGGCCATGTCTGGCCATCATAATTGGTGCACAAAACTCCAGTTTTGAGCACCAATCCCTCATAACACTACAACCTAACATTATTAGCCAAGTTTTAAGTTTGATTAAATAAAATAAGTCTTGTGGTCATTTCTTATGGTGAGCATTTTCGCATTTTGGCTACAACTCCCCCAGATATTATTTAGTAAAAATGTCTCTAATAATTTTTCTTTTACATTTTTTCTAACCGTTCTACTTTTTTTCCCTTACTTTTTTGCTTTTTGTGTATGCCAGCTTACATGTAGGATACCCCTCTAAAATATTTACCCTCCTCCCCATGTAAAATGTGCGTCTACATGAACATTTCGACTCCTTCTTACCGGGGTGACAGCAGCTAATCTGACCTCTTCCTCAATCTGTCTCTGGGTCACGTCTCTCTCAACATCCTCCTCCGACGATGACGAATCCACTTTATCGCTAATTCTCCCTGCTTCTCCAGCCCTCAATCTGTTCTAGCGGTCGAAGTTTGTGTGGTACACATGTGAGTTAGTTTGGCTTTTCTGCGTCCATTTAGGGGCTTTTTTGCTTTTCTTCTCGCAGTTTTTCTGGGCCCGCCCCACCAAATATCCACTTGCTTCTCTACTTCGGTCAGATGAAATGAAAAATGTATAACTTCAGAAGAGAGGAGAGGGGCATTCCAAGAAGGTCTGAGAGATTTCATTGGATTAGTCCAAGAAAAAGCATTGGGACGTCGCGGTCAATAAAAATGATTTCTAATATACTCTTTTGATTACATTTTAACAGCCAGCCCAAATTTGTCCATCAGCCCACCGGGGATTCCCTGGTGTGGCAGACGGGCATCCACTCCTGCTGCCATGACTAGTAGACATGATCGATGACTTCCAAAATAGCCACAACTATACAACTCCTTCTAGTTTTTGAAGATTATTTTTATTCAATTTTTGGAGGAGATAGATTTTTTTCACAGATTATCTCTTACACCATGCTGTCACAGCATAGTGACGGTTTTAACAATGTTGCATACTGCAGCTTTAAGAATGAGAACCCATATGTTAACTTTCTTTAGTTTAACATGTATTCCCTATTAACAGTCAAGTTTGTTTTTGGGCTGAATTGCCTAGTATACATGTCACAATAAAGATGGAAAAAGTTTGGAAGTGATTTACTATGGTCTCATTTCTTTTAGGTCTCAGATATCTGCAATTTAAACAGGCATTTGTGTCCTTTTGAGAGTTTAATAATAACATAAACACAATAAAAGTAAATAAAATGTAGGCTATATTTTAATATGAAGGCTATATTCTTCATAATAGATTGAACAGGAATTATTCCATTTTATAAAAATGAAACTGGAGAAAGGTTAACAGAGTTACCAAATGAAGTGAGAATGGAAAAATATACTAATGACTAAAATAATATATTTAACAATTTCTCACCACTTATAGTGTTCAGTTTCTTACCATTGATAAGGACACTCTTTAATACCCCATCCTCTTCAATCTCTATCCTCTCCTTCCCATTTTCCTTTATCCTGCAAATAAAACAAACTAGGATAAGTGAAAAAGAAAAAAGCTGCACTTCATCTTAAAAAAAATTACTCTAAAGGAAGTATTTAATTGGCTGAATGGTTTTATAAGGGGAGGTTTCACATACTTCTTGGTGGTGGTGCTTTTTCCATTTACAATGCGAGTGGAGGTAGAAACCGATCTGAAGTTAGATCCTCCCATGCTCTCCATCCCACCGAGACCACCGAAAGAGGAGGAAAAGGAGCTAAATTCAACTGCAGAAAAGCAAAAAAAAAAAAAAAAAAAAAAGAACAAAAAAAAAAAGGAATTTTTGCAGATATCCAGCATTTGTTAAAAGATAAGAGTTAACAAGCTATTTTAACTGAAAACATATTATGAAATTGCTTATTGCTGCATTAAGTCATTAGGTGTTTACCTCCAGATGAGGGAAAAGAGAAAAATCGACTAGGGCCAAGGCGAGAATGTGGGACTCCAAACGATGCAAAGTCATCTGGATGAGAAATGCAGTCATGTTAGCATATATCAGCGCATAAATATAGAAGGAATAGCATCAAGGAAAGGGATGATGATTTCCACTAATGTCATTTTTGTCCAGTACAGGTGAGATCAGTTACTTTAATGACTTTTTCATTAATGTACATCTATTTCCTAACTGAGAAGAAAATTCCAAAATGTTTTAAAGTCATAAAGAGAAAATAATTTAATCTTGTCCCAACAATTTGACATACCAAAAAAGCTAGCAAAAGGATCCTGTCCACCAAAAAACTCTCTGAACACCTCATCCGGGTTGCGAAATGTGAAGGTGAATCCTGGGAGGTCTGAGAAGTCTGTAGTGGTAGAACCTGGGAAATGATGACGTCAGAGTTAGTGGATGAGGGAAAAGCAAGTATCACTATATCAGTAACTGGAAAACAAGATGAAGACTGCTAACGTCAAATGTCAGCAATTAAGTTGCCTAATAACTATTGATCTTCCATACATCAGGGTACGTGTATTTACCTGAGTGTGGCACATTGTCATTTCCATATCTGTCATAAGCACCTCGTCTGCTTTCTGTTGAAAAAAAAACAAACATTTTCAACACATATAAACACACAGGATTTAGGTTGAAAAATATGTTATGTTAAATATGTTAAAACTGAATATTAAATGGTGCTCCGTTAGCACATTGTGAATATGAGACCTTTTTTTTTTTATTCTAATTTTTGTTTGATTGAGTAAAGTGTGAAGAGTTTAAAACACACCAACACAAATCTTTAAGTTATGACTTACTGTCAGACAGGACTTCATAGGCCTCAGCAAGTTCTTTGAATTTTTTCTCTGCCTCTTCCTTGTTGTCTGGATTTTTATCTGGATGCCATTTCAGGGCCAATTTCCTGTACCTGCACCAGATATTCAAAATCAAATGTCAATACCAAATATACAACCACACAAATTGAATAAACATGTTTTATAGCATAGTATTATTCTAAAATTAGTTGCATTAATGGAACTGAAACTAAGAATTATAAATGCCCTCTCATTTAGCCACGCCATTTTAGTCTAAATGGCCAGGCCAGCAATAAGTTACATTTGAAATAACGTTTTTATATATATGTATATATATGCACACTTGACCATACCACATACAACCATCAAATACTCTTATTGTACTTACGCCTTCTTGATGTCATCCTGCGAGGCATTCCTGGACACTCCCAGCACACTATAATAGTTCACCATATCGCCTCGCGTCACTCTTTAAAACACCACTCTGAAATTCAATCATATACTCATATTTTACTCATATTTGATCTGGGTGAATATCTTACTGAATATTATTGTTGTCCATTAAGGCAATTACAAAAAATGTAAGATAAATAGCTGTGGCAGAATCACCAAAAACTTCTTAACTATCAAAATAATATTAAATATTCTTGATAGGTATTTTAGCAAAGGTACCATAAAATAAAAACAATACTGTGCATAAAAAATACACAGTGGATTGTTTAGTTTCTCCAGTTGATCTTCTGCTTTACATTTTAGTTAAAATTTCAAACTATTTCTTCCTTTACAGGTATATGGTTTGGAAAGTAAAGCTATCTGAGGAGTTAATCATACATCAGATTTATAAAAGATTACTTTTTTTAATATGCTTGCTAATAAAAAATCCATAATGGGTTAAATTTCGTTAAATATGCCTATTTTTTAATAATAATAATAATAATAATAATAATAATAATAATAATAATAATAATAATAATAATAATATGTGACGCATTGCAAATTGATGCTTAAAGAAACACAATCCTGTGCTCATTACTAAAGTACAGCAGTTACGGTTACTTTTAAGTACTTTTTTAAAATAGCAAAAAATCTCTTCAAATCTCAACTATCAGCTAAATGCAGATATAAATAGTAGCTTGCTTAAAGCATTAAAAACGCTTTGGAAAGTAAGTATTGTAGTGTCCTTGACCTTAGTGTAGTCAGCAAATTTATAATAGCCACAACACGTTAACCATCATGCCAATCTCATTAGTCTCCTGCTGCAGCAGTTTCCAAGCAGTGGGGGGCTTCAGGAGAAACTAAACTTAACTTTTTATCTCCCCTCGGGGAACTCCATGCGCTCACACAAGTGTTATTTCTGTGTTATATGCAGGACTGTGGCATCTGACAACTGCTGCTGTCATGACACTAGGCCATAAGAAGCCTAAACACGGCAAATGTGCTTACATGCACAGGTGCTGTGCTGTTTCAGTGCGTACAGTTGGGGGAGTTACCATTGTTTCATAATATCAGAGCCACATAATTCCTTTTATGGTGAATTTGGGCTTATTATAAACAAACAACTGAGTGTAATGTTAGCTGATGATAGCCACACCTTACATGCTGCAGACAAAAAAAAATTACCTACCTTTCAAGTGTTACGATCCAGGCAGTTGAGCCGTTTGCCCTCCGTACAGATGACAGTTAATGTCTTGTGGAATAATTTTCTCTTGTGACAACCAAGTAGCCACCTCCCTTTTCTGTTTTGCTTCCAAGATGTCTCGTCACGAATATGTTTTCCAGGGATACAGTGTCACTGCAGGTTATGGTTAAGCCCTCGTGCTGTGCTCCCGTGTTGTTTTCACAAGGGAGGACATGAAGACAGATAACCCAGTTTACGTTGAGTGCCGCTGGTCTGAGCTGAGCCGCTACGTCACTGCGAGCGGACAGAAGACGTCTAGAAAATACCAGCGTTTACTACACGTCACAAGCCCCGCCCACTCTCGTCTAAAACTTCTACTGTCATGTTTACAAACCGAAAACTATGGCGGTTGAGTTAATGTTAAATGTCATCGTTGGGTGAAATTCTTTGAGTGACGAGACCGAAGCTTTGGAGTTATGCTTGGTATATCATTGGACATCATATATCATTGGAACAATTTATATACACGACAAAACCACAAAAAATAGCACTTCATCAGAATATCCTATCCCTTTAAAATGAAAAGCTATCGCAGTTGTATGCACTAATATTTTTAGAATATCCTACCTTTTAAAAATATATATTTTAAATACAGATGTTTGTAAGAATAAAATAGTATCAGACAGGGGGAAGTTCTCATCGAAATTAAATTAAGCACAGACATCTACAAATACAGATCACCACAAACTCTTTTTTGTGCATTAATATGGAAGAACACTTATTTAATCTACACCTCATTTCAATTTAATGACTTACAATTATAAAAAAAAAAATATCCACGTTCCTGTTCAATATGCTGTGCTAAAGAGCCAACAAATTACGCAGACAAAATGGTTACAAACTAACTCATAAGATAAGAAAATCTAAGGATACATAATAGTAATAATGACTATTTAAATCATCATACAGCAACACTAATTATCAACTCCTTGCCAATGCACAACTACAAATTATGTGTGTCTAACCATTGCACTCTGGGGTAAACGGACAATTTTTTCTTAATAAACCGAGTAGTATGGACTTCTACAATACATATTAATGCCATCCAATGTTTACCATTTAATATGAGAGATATTTAACCTCCCTGATTTTTTACTTAATCAAGGACAATGCTTAAAGTTATCCTTGATGTTTAACATTACTGCCAATGTTTATGAGATGTCAAACTTCATCTCCAGAAAAGTTTGCTTTTGCATAAAACTCTGGGAGAAACTGACTTCGGGCAATAGCTATGGTTGTAAGCGGGAACCCCGTCTATATCGCCATCTCTAAATAGGAACATTCGGTGTTCATATTTGTAAGCGATCTTTGGGCTGCTCTTGGTCCGATACCTCACTTAGGATCCGTTTACCGCGGCAAATATAGCCCTAGGATCACTGGGACACTCAAACCCCTCCACTACGATAAGGTGGCAGCCCACGGAGGGGGAAAATAAACAAAGCCAGGAACAGTTCTTTAATCTGAACTGATCTGGAGAGAAGCCAGAAGGTGGCGCTCTGGTGTTTCTAACTAAACAAGAAGTTTAGATAGATTTAAAATAACTCATAGCCTGGGTTTAGTTAGAAACAAAACCTTTTGTAACTAATTTATCCTGAACGGATGGATGCAAATAAAACAGATTACATTTATATTTTTGAAATTCTTCAAATAGCAACCCGACTCTGGTCAAAGACTGCTGTGACGGCGTTTATGTCCAGCAGGGGTAATTTTACTGCATAGATGTACTCACATAAAAACAGAGATTTTTTGTTGTTGTTTAGTTTTCAAGCTGTAAGTGGTGAGTGACTGAACGATCTCGCCACGTCGCTCAGTCTAAATGGTGTGTTTACTGGTTAACGTAGGCAATTGTATAATGACTAATGTAAACAAAAATGAGCTCAACATTTTTGTAAATAATAATTCACACAACACAAAATTACACCTGCAAATATTTGTACTTATTGACTACTAATATATTAAAATAAGGCTTTTCATAACTGTTGCTGATGTACTTATTGAATAATGAGGTTAATGTTGATTATCAGCAGAGGTGTAGTAAATAGTTGCAATTACTCAGTTACATCTACTTGAGTAACTTTGAAAATAATAAAACTTTTAGGTGTAGTTTTACTTCATCATAGGCTATGCTACTATCTCTTGAATAAAAATTTTTAATACTCTATCACCTTCAAGAACAAGCTTGTTTTAACCAAAATTTTGTGAGACACAAACACACATCTACAGCTTAGTGAGACCTGCTGTTTGTCCACAGGTTTTATTGTATTAATGTTATTTTCTATCATCGGAAACTTCTGTGCCATTAGGAGAAAATTAGAAAAAAAAAAGATTATGTATTGTCACCAAAAGTACCCTGTTGTATTTACATTGCCTATTGTGAGTGGTAGTTTATATGTTTTATATTGAACTAATTTGATCTGGAAAATTCCTCCTGTTACTTCTTCCTGGATTTGTTATTTTGTAATGCAATATAATGTTATGTTATTTATTGAATTAACTTCCATTTTAATCTGTAAAACAAGAATTTGCAAATAAGTTCATATTTTTCTATGTCTGACTTTCTAAATTATAAATAACCTTTTCTGATTAGTTCTCAGTACTCAAGTAGCTTTTTTACATAATACTTTTTCTTTTGCTTTTACTGTGGACTCAATTACTTGAGTAATTTCTTGGACAATTCTTTCTTACTATTAATTCAATAAAAATATGTTGATTAAGTGCTACTCTTACTTGAGTACAATATTTGAATATTCTAGCCAACTCTTATTATGAGTCACATTTATACTACAGTTGTGCAGTTCCTCTCAGGCAGTCATGTGAGGTGTGTCACAGAAAAAAAAATGTCTCCTGATTGCTTTTGCTTATTTATTTGCTTTGCACAATTGATTCCCATGATGAATAGGTCTTTTAACCTTATTTGCTATGCATTTAACTTTCAAAAAGAACACAATTCACCTAATTCATTCATTTGAGCCTTTATTGATAATACTGACAGATCACCTTCTCAGCATTTATGGATGCTGCTGGGAATGTGGTCTATTCAGAGCAACATTTGGAATGTGTGCTGGTTTTGGCCCCCTTAATACTCCTCTCCCTCTTCATCCTCATCTCCCATGCTGTCGGTGCCCACCTCTTCATAATCCTTTTCCAAAGCAGCCATATCTTCTCTGGCCTCTGAGAACTCTCCCTCCTCCATTCCCTCTCCAACATACCAGTGGACAAAGGCTCTCTTGGCATACATGAGATCAAACTTGTGGTCGAGCCTGGCCCAGGCCTCAGCGATGGCGGTGGTGTTGCTCAGCATGCACACAGCTCTTTGCACCTTAGCAAGGTCTCCTCCAGGAACCACAGTTGGAGGCTGGTAGTTGATCCCCACCTTGAAACCTGTGGGGCACCAGTCCACAAACTGGATGGTACGTTTGGTCTTGATGGCGGCAATGGCCGAGTTGACATCTTTGGGTACAACATCGCCACGGTATAGCAGACAGCAAGCCATGTATTTGCCATGACGTGGGTCACATTTAACCATCTGATTAGCTGGTTCGAAGCATGCGTTGGTGATGTCAGCCACAGATAGTTGTTCATGGTACGCTTTCTCAGCAGAGATCACTGGAGCATAGGTGGCCAGAGGGAAGTGGATTCGAGGATAAGGCACCAAGTTGGTCTGGAACTCTGTCAGGTCAACATTCAGGGCTCCATCAAAACGGAGGGATGCTGTGATTGAGGACACAATCTGGCCAATAAGCCTGTTCAGGTTGGTGTAGGTTGGTCTCTCAATGTCAAGATTTCTGCGGCAGATATCATAGATGGCCTCATTGTCCACCATGAAGGCACAGTCGGAGTGCTCCAATGTGGTGTGGGTGGTCAGGATAGAGTTGTAAGGCTCCACTACTGCTGTAGAAACCTGGGGTGCTGGGTAGACAGCAAATTCAAGTTTGGACTTTTTCCCATAGTCGACGGAGAGTCTTTCCATCAGCAGGGAGGTAAAACCAGAACCAGTTCCTCCACCAAAGGAGTGGAAGATGAGAAAACCCTGCAGACCAGTGCACTGATCAGCCTGAAAAAAAAAGGTTTGTGGGGAATTAGAAGTTGTCTCCAGCCAGAGGTATAAGTTAACCACAACCTCTCAAGAAATCAAAATCCTGTAAAGCTAAAGCAAATAGCCTTCAAACCCTCACCAGTTTACGTGTTCTGTCCAAAACAAGATCTATGATCTCCTTGCCAATGGTGTAGTGACCACGGGCGTAGTTGTTGGCAGCATCTTCCTTTCCTGTAATAAGCTGCTCAGGGTGGAACAGCTGACGGTACGTTCCTGTACGCACCTCATCTGTAAATGAGCAATAGAAAGATTAAAATGACAACTAATTCACAATGTCAAATATTTCTAAGTGATTGTTCATCTACAGACTGCTGACCAATGACAGTAGGCTCCAGATCGACAAAGATGGCTCTGGGTACATGCTTTCCTGCCCCTGTCTCACTGAAGAAGGTGTTGAAGGAGTCATCCCCTCCTCCAATAGTCTTGTCAGAAGGCATCTGACCATCTGGCTGGATTCCATGTTCAAGACAGTACAGCTCCCAACAGGCATTGCCCATTTGGGCTCCAGCTTGGCCAACATGCATAGAAATACACTCACGCTAAAGAAATAGGAGAGAAGGTTGATTACTTTATTATCAGCACATGTTCATATACTTTGTGAGAATGTTTGCACACAGAGCTTGAATTATAGCACCAAACACTGCAGGCACTAGAGTAACTAAGAAGCACATCTGGGCGTCACTGAAACATATAAGGAAGTCTCCATTGTGTCATGGTTTTCAAAAAATAGATTATTTGGCAGACAGGAAGGCCATGCGTCAAGAAGATGGAAAATTCTTACCCACACCTCCCATTCCTGTATCCCTCCCTTTCCACATCCCCTCCCCCATTTGGATCCCTCCTCCCATCCTGTCCACAGCTGCAGACTGTAGTGCTGTGTAACACTAAGGGATGTCTCCCTCTCTCTCTCTCCCTCTCTCTCTTCCTCTTTCTCCACATTTCCTAAAGCAAAGATTCCTTACAAAATGTCTGCCATCTAGCATGCACTGCAGGCAAACCACTCCTCTTTTCTCTTTCCTGTTTATTTCATCCCTCCCACTGCCACGATTACCATGACCAGTCCCACTGAGAAAAGAGAACAGTAAATCTAGATTTTTTCTTTGTCCTTATTTGGATATGTTTTCTGCTTCTTAACAAGACATGCTAACATGAAACACATCTGGTAGTAACAGTTTTGTAACATATGAATTCTCCGTTATCTGATCAAGTTTTGTCAAGTCTACATGAATTGTTTTTTTTTTTTCTTGAATTACAAATACTCTCACTCCCCTCCTCCAAATAGTCAATAAACACTCTCTGAAAGGCTTTGTTATGTAAAATG